ATATATAAGCATGTTTGGTTGAATAATTTAGACATATTATGTCTATTTATTTTAATGTTAACCCTCTCAAGTTCACTAATCAATTTTTTAGTGTCTGCATACATTTAATGAAGAAAGAAGCTGTAATTAACTATATGCTTGATATTTTCCTAAGTACTTTCAATCTCATCCTAGATCATCTTCAGGGATGAATTTGCTAAGACAAAAAATTAATTATGTTATTATTATGTGAGCATGAACGTTTTAAAATTCGAAAAGCTTACTGCTATGTAAAGGATGTAACTTAATTTATGTAAATTCTTATTACAAATTGTAATTACGTTTTAAAATATTGTTTTTAATTGTAGATTTAACAATTACAATTTAAATATTTTAAAACTTTGCTGTTATAAACATTTGGAACGTTATTGCTATACTCATAATTGATTTTATATATTTTTTGTCTGTAAATTTTTTTGTAAAGTGCTCCCAGAATTTGAACTTTTTTATTTTCGTGGTGGAGCATAGTTGTATAGATTTGAAACATGAAACTGACAATCTACATGCAGTGCTGATTCCTGTGTCTACGCTGTTTATATCTATCTCCGATATTGATTATTCTTCCCTTATATATATATATATATATATATATATATATATATTTATTCTAAGAGTAGCTTAGATGTGGCACAAGGCCGAAATTAGCGGCACCCAGTGAGGATCGAACTCGCTACTCAGTTGTAATTGTTCTAGCGAGCCAAGCTTGCTAACCATTACACCGCCATGAAGTGCCCCTAAAATGATTTTCTAAGCGTAGCTTAGATGTGGCACAAGGCCGCAAGTATAAGGCACCCAGTGAGAATCGAACTCACTACTCAGTCGTAACTGTTTTTTGAGACAAGCTTGCTACCCATTATATATATATATATATATATATATATATATATATATATATATATATATATATATATGGTGGGGTACTGGAATATTTTCGACCTAACCACTTCCTAAAATCTGAACCAAAAATCCCACATTAGATTTTCCATTATTTCTGTTTTTATAAGATCTTTTTAATCAAGTTTTCAGTAACCACCCACATATCTCTCTCTCATATATATATATATATATATATATATATATAAAAGATTGTAGCTTCTGTATGTCAATTTGTTTGTTATCGAACTCCTTGTAGGGTTTTTTGTAGATAGACCCTGATAACCATATATATTTTGAAACGGCATTACTCAGGGTACATGGTTAAATATATTTTAGCACGCCCCCTCTGAATTTTTTCTCCTTTTGTTTTAAATTAAATTTAAATTTGAACAAGGTAATGACTCCTAGGGTTGTTGGATAAGATTATTTCATTTTGATCAAAGGAGATCCCCGGGAGTCACCCCTACTGAAATTTTTCCGCTTTGAGTTAAATTAAATTTAAATTTGAAAAAGGGATTGACTCCTTGGGTTGTTGGATAAGATTATTTCATTTTGATCAAAACGGGTCTCCGGGAGGCATCCCACACTGAGTTTTTCACCTTTGATTTAAATTAAATTTAAATTTGAACAAGGGAATGATTCCTATCCAAAATATAGGAGAAAACCAGAAGATGGAGGTCGCATTAGCAAAATCAAAATGAGAAAATATGGACATCAAATTGAGCAAGAAATCAGCAATCAGTTGGTAGTGCCTTACAGTACATATTCGTTGTGACAATTCAACTGTCATATCGATCTACTCATCAATTCATTCAATCAAGTATTGCGTCAAATACAGATCAAAGGAGTCAAATCAAGCTGTGTTTGTATAGCCCTCCACTGATTTTTTCCATTTGATTTAAAAAAAAAAAAAATTAAAATTTGAACAAGGGAATGACTCCTATTCAAAATATACACGGAGAAATTCAGAAGATGGAGGTCACATCGGCAAGATCATTGAGTAATATTTAAACGCATCATTTTTCTCCACAAATTATAACAATGATTTAAAATCAATCAACATTTTCTTACAAAATACACACATGGCGCAGGTAATTCGACTAATCCAATATATATATGAGGTTATAGGAGTCAGCAAAATTATAATGAAAAAAGACTATGTTTTTATCATTAAATATTTATTTTTAAAACATAATCTCTTTCCTTATTAACACAATTCATTCAGTGTTGGATATCAGTTGCACGCAACGAACATTGTACCTTAGAAATTTTTAGATCAACCTTTAGACAATTCCACTGTACCAAGCGAAGGAACTTACATCCAGCCTCGTGGATATGCGCTGTATCTGAGCACACTGTTTCATTCAGAACGCTTTCTTTAATAACAGCTGGCTCCAACTGTAAATTTTGCTCATAGGATCGACTCCGTAAGAATGAATTTCACAGTGTGAATATTTCACGAAGCCAAACCGAATATTTCCTGATTTGGACGCGCGTCGCCCCCTTCACCCTTTAACTTGTATTGTTCCCAATATTCTCATCTAATAAAACATTTACCTGATGTGGTTAATATTTGATTAGAACAATAGCAACCCCATAAATAATTGCTGTAAAATGCAAACAATAAGCCTTCCAACAATTTTAATTCATTAAATAACGAGAGAATAAAGAAAAAACAAAACTCCTACAATGTATAATACGTTATCGATTTTTCTAAACGTGAAATAAGGTTTATGTAACTCTATTAAGAAACACCGACACATTCATCTGATTACGCTTGAGTTTCTCTTGGAGAGCAAACCGAATTCGATAAAACAGTTGTTTTGAATCAGTTTGTTTTTTGGGGTTTTTTTTTTGCAGAAAAACGTACAAACCAATTTTCTTTCCGAAACAAAAGATTAAAACTTAAAAATGTCTACGCTTTTTAGTCGTACTTTTTTAAAAAAAAAATCTCTGACACGTACAAAAGTCCTCAAATGTCGTTCAAGTGTTTCGTTCTAAGTATTTAATCACGTACTAGCAAGATGACCCGAGTTTTATGAAGTGGAATCGATATTACAGCAAGTAAATTAAAAAAATGAGGAGGCATGGTGGAGTAATGGATAGCGGCTCAGACTGAGGAATCTGCAGAGCCGAGTTCGAAATCCAGTCGAATCCATTACATTCACTTACGTGCTAAAGTTCTTGGGAAAGGTATGAATCCTCTTTTTCTCCCCCAACCCTCAGCAGGTCAGACCAGGTTCTATAGCCATGGCAACCTACTGCGGGAAAGAAATCTGCCTCGTCAGTCATGTATCGAAAGATACATGATCGTCTAAGCGTGTATCACGCATGGCACATAACTGAAATTGAAAATGTATTTTTGTTATCAGTTTTTTTTTATTTGTTTTAACAAGGTTAGTTTTTTATCACGCTGTTGCTTTTCATTACAACATTCTCGTTGAAAAGCTTCCAACTTTCTCGTTGAAAGACTTACAACATTTCCGTTGAAGAACTTCCAACATTCCTGTTGAAGAGTCGTTTGCAGTGAACAATCCACATAACAAAAGCCTCCAACGTAAATAAAACCTATTGTAGTGATAGAGGAAGGGAGCACAAGCATCTATGCTTGAGCGCTCTTCCTCTACCATTACAATACGTTTTTTTTGTTGTTGTTGTTGTTTTGTTTTAATGGCAGAGACCTTAACAAATATGGCCTCTGTAAGACAATACCCAAACCTGTATTCTTTTTTGCCTACGGATATTGACCCAAACTTTTTAAAATTCTTCAACCTCATCTTTTTGCCGACCTGTCTTACATTACATAATTCAAGGACTGCTGAAATATGAAGTATGTTTTTTGCTTTTAATTTTTTTTTTTTTTTTTTGTGATAAACTTCTATATGACGCTTCACTTCTGGACGTGGACGGTTATGGTTCTCCACAACTTCCTACCATTTTTAGTTCTAAGCAATGCTTATATTCCTGCTATCGTTCATAATCACTCTTCTGCAAACCATTTACACAAGCTTGTTAGGTAAGTTATTCTCTGCTTTCCTCTGTCCCCCAGTATGTCCTGTAAGTGTCAAATTCTCCCTGCCCTCTTTTCTCATTACGTGCCGTAGCAATTAAAGCTCTCTTTTTCAGATGCTATATATAAGTGTGTTTTTGGTCTCATTTTCCTTAAAAGTTTGTCGTTTCTCACACGTTCATTTTAGGGTATTCTATGCATCCTTTTATAGAACCACGTTTCTGTTACCTCGAATCTCTTCTTCATCTGTAAAGAGATTGTCCGGTATTACCCACCATATAGGAGGACCTATAGTTAGACATAACAGTCCAGTACTCAATTTCTAACCAAATTTTCCTGTTTTTTCATACTTTGCTTAGCTTTTCCAGTGCATCTTCAGATTTCGGTTTCATATTTTTCGTCCTCAGTGAAAACACTTCCTAGATATTTAAATTGTTTTACTTGTTTGATATTGGAGTCTTCGATTCTTAGTTCGCATTTTTGCTTGCTAATTTTGCTGACAACTATATATTCTGTATTCTTACAATTGAGAGGTAGTCCTTTCTTCTCGCTTTCCTTTACTACCGTCTGTTTTTGTAGTAGTACGTGTAGTTTTCCTTTCCTATCTGCTGTACACACTGTGTCATCAGTATATCTTATGTTAAGATTGTGGCCGACAATAATAAATCCTGGTAGAATTTCTAATTCCCTCAGAATCGCCTCGCTGTATAAGTTGAATAAGTCCGGTGAGAACGCATATCATTGCATTACCTCCCCACACTTTCTATTTTTGTGCTTTTACGGAATTGCTTCTCCATCCGTATGTAGGCGGTTTTCTTTTTACCATAAGTTCTGCATTATTCTAAGAGTCTTCCCAAATAAATCAAGCCTATCTAGCAGCTCCAAACAATTTGACGTACCTTATCGAACGATGTTTAATTATTTGGGAGTTTTCAATGTTCAGATTTTTCCGAAGACCCTCACAGCAATATAAATAATAATGAGCTTTTTTCCTCAAAGATTAATTTTCTTATGGGTTATCAACCTTTTACGGGTAATTTAAAGCTGAAACATATTTCAGATTGTATGAGGTTACTTACAGTACCCGGTGTTCTAAAGCGGTCACCCATTTAAGTGCTGACCAGGCTTGACGTTGCTTAACTTCGGTGATCGAACGAGAACCGGTTTTCTGGGCGTCATTTGACCATAGACAGAATGAATATGCAGTGAAAATGACTATATTACAAAATGCTACAATTTTACATCACATTTAGGTCATGTTTCTTCGGGGTGTTGGTGGTCATGACTCCCCACAATTTCCTGTCCGTTGTAGCTCTTTGTCCTTTGTAAATTTTCTCTTTTTGTTAGATCTCCTAAATCTTGATCCGTCACACATTTACTGAAGCTCACTAGGTAGCTTATGCACTGTTTTCCTCTGTCCCTTGCCTTAAATCTTTCTTGTGAGTATCAAATTTTCTAAACCCTCTTTCCTCATTATGTACCCTAGAAATTTCAACTGTCTCTTTCAGATGCTTGCACTTTCTCTAAATCTTGTGTTCCATTGTATTCTCAGCACGCTTCTGTGGAACCATATTTCTATTCCTTCAATTCTCTTCTTCATCAGCGGGGATTCTTCATCAGTCCAGAATTCACTGTCATATAGGGGGGACTGATATTACGTAATATTTTTGGTAGTGAATATAATGCAGGCTTTCGATTATAAAATGTGATAAATTGAATGATAAATTATTAGTTTATTCATTCTATATATAAACATATTTATTCATTTTATGCTCATGCTGTGAACGCTGGACAATCTCATTACAAATGCTGAAGAGTCCCGAGGCAAGAGAAATGTGGTTCTGCGTAAAAATGCTGAAAATATAACGGAAAGAATATTTGAACAAGGGAATTTTTTAAAAAGAGAATGGGAATAAAATGCCTAATCGTACTTAGAATTTAACAGAAAGAGACAGTTGATATTTTCAGGGACATATAATGAGAAAATAGGACTTCGAGGATTTATCAGGATATACTGAGCGCAAGAGAGGCATCGAGTAATATACCTCATGATATTCACCTTGGGTATGACGATAAATAACGTCCGCGTCCTGGGTCAGACGATAGACTACATCCGCGTCCTGGGTCAGACGATAAACTGTATCCGCGTTCTGGGTCAGACGATAAACTGTATCCGCGTCCTGGGTCAGACGATAAACCACATCCGCGTCCTGGGTCAGACGATAAACTATATCCGCGTCCTGGTTAGGACGATAAACTACGTCCAACAGCAAGGCCTCTGATCAGGAGGTTTTGAGACGTATAGCACCACCTCTTAATTGCTGGTGTTCTCGTGGTAGCTCAAGTTAGGTTTCCAGCTATGGGCAAATAGTTGACCCCCAAACTGGGGTTAAAACACCATGAAAGTGTCAAAATAGGATTTTATACGAGAAATACTTGGTAAAAAATTATTAACAGCAATAAATTTTTGAGGAAAAAATATTACCAGCAATATATTTAAAAAAAATACCAGCACTAAAAATTTTGTCGGCATTAAATAACCCATTGAGGTTGATATGCCGTAAAACAAAACAAACCAATACCAAACCTAATGATATTGTTTAATCCTTTGAGCCCTGACCACTGCTTTACCGATGATAGAGAAAAATGACGTAATGCCCAGCCACCGGATGAACAGTGGTAGAAAAAAAATGACGTATTGCCCAGCCACCGGTTGAACAGGGGTAGAGAAAAATGACGAAATACTCAGCCACCAGTCGAACAGTGGTAGAGAAAAATGACGAAATACCCAGCCACCGGCCGAACAGTGGTAGAGTAAAATGACGGAATACCCAGCCAACGGTCGAACAGTGGTAGAGAAAAATGACAATGCCCAACTACCGGTTGAACGGTGGGTAAACATTTGTAACTTTTTTTATATCTACTGTGAAACATTACATATCAATTATTTGCGAATTTTGACTCAGGAGCTTGGGCTGAAAGGTTTATATGTTTCAGGAACGCAGGACTCAAATGGTTAAATGAACGGTAAAACTTGGACTGGGAAGAAAAAATAAGGGGACAAATATTGTTACGAAAGAAAGTAAGTTGTAGAGAGCTATGATCGCCCATGATCAGAAAGGACACGGCTTAGAAAAGAAGAAACTAAAACGTGGATTAATAAATGTGATTCAAGGGTTTATAATGGCGATGATTTTCTTATTACTATAGAGTTCATTTCTAAGATTTCTTATTGAGACTGAAATAAACCTAAGTTTTTCGTTGGATATCATCTAATTTCGCTGGATATCACCTTAGTATAACTCATTAATGTTGATATGCCGTATAACAAAACAAACCAATACTAAACCTAATGATATTGTTTAATCCTTTGAGCACTGACCACTGCTTTACCGATGATAGAGAAAAATGACGTAATGCCCAGCCACCGGTTGAACACTGTTATTCAGCTCCTTATTTAGTTGTCAAGTCCATTCTGGACCAGACCTCTTTCGTTCCACTAACTTCAGAGACTTTACCAACCTCCCACCCAGCTTTTCTGTCATCCTTTTCTCATAAATTCCTTAAGATGGTTGATTGGTTCGTTTTTGTTTTGTTTTTTGTTTGTTTGTTTGTTTTTTGCAGTTGATTTAAGACCAATAAATATTTTCTTACTAATTAACCCATAGCTGTTGTGGAAGAAGATCCGGATTCATAGTTTTCCCTATATGCACGTCATTGAATATACCTAACCCAACTGGAATTGGAACTCGATTCTCCGATTAAAAATTCTGTGACATTATCCATTTAACACTTCGTTAGTACCGTGAGGCACTGTCAGTGCATTCTTACGGCGAGAATTTTAAACAGGGTATGTAAAATATTCTAGACATTATTATATAGTTTATATTTTTCTTATTACATATTGTATTGAGTGTTAACCTGACGGAGCCTGTTCCTCTTCATGGTGATGTTGAATTCAGATTCGTCCTTCTCCTGGACTGGTTGCGAAGTTTTACTAGAGAACCCAGTCTGCCCTCCTACTTAATCCATAATTCCGAGACATTACACGACTCGCACCTCCAAGCACCTTATTCTCAAGCTATCACCCATCCAGGTACTAATCGGGATCGACGTTGTTTTACTTCGGTGATCATACGGCAATTGGCGTTTCAACCTGATGTGGCCGTAAGTCGTCATCAATTAGGTTACTCGATGTTTTCCTGTGCTTCTCTTACCAACCATGTGTTCTGTGAATGTTAAATTCTCTAAGCCCATCTTCCGCATTATGTATTCTATGAAGTTTGGTTTCTTTACTGATTATAAAGTATAAGCTTATTTGAAGTTATTATTTTCCTTAAAACTTTTATCTGTGGTATTCTGAGCATTCGATGGAAGAACCACATTTCTCTCGTTTCATTTCTCTTCTTCATGTGCGAGTAGAATGCCCAGCATTTGCTACCATGTTGCATAAAAATTTACCACCATCTTTTTTTTCTGACAATATTTTTCACTCTTAATAATTTGCTTAGTTTCCGCAAGACATCTTCCGCTATTTCTATAAGCCTTCATATTTCTGTGAAATATTTTCCGTCGTCTATTATTACACTACGCAGAACGTTATATTTCTGTGCCTACTTCATTTTGAAGTTCCCATTATGCAACTCATACTGTGTATTGTCCCTTTTGCTAGCGACCATTCATTTGGGCTTAAAGATAATACGTATTTTTTTCTCATTTTCATTTATCAACTACTACTATCAATTAACATTCTGAGTTTTCCATCCTTTCTGTGACATCGGTATATCTTTTGATTCTTAATTTATTAAAGATATATCAGAATAGCCATAATCACATATTCAAATTCTAAGATAACAATTACAGAAGATTTCGTCTCGAGCCTTGTGATAAAAATGAAAAATAAGTTAAAAAAAAATTAGTAAAATATTTATAATGAAAATACATTTAAGAATAAGAAGAGCATGTCTGATATCTTGTCTAGAGCTTCTGCTATGTATTTTGAGATTGTTGCTTAAATTCAAAATAAATCCGCAATGTGATCGGTCCTGACCTGGCATCTCGCCTTCATTTACTTTCTCGCCGCTGTACCGTAGTTTTCCTGTGCTTTTTCTATAAATAAGCTTTCTCCTTTGGTAACTAGACTTTATACATTTTAGTGCAGTGCTAGATTGGCGGCAAAGTTTCGTCATTGTACAGTTGAAATGGCTAGATGTAAGTTCTATGCTAACAGTTTCTTCTCACGCACTTATTGTTTGTGGAACTTTCTTCCGGCTCTATCTTTAATTATGTTTTATTTTTCTCATATTCTCGCAGACTCCGTCAACCCTTATATTTTAGTGGCTTTATTGCCTTGCTTGTGGTGGTACGACTAAAAAAATTTTTTCGTGATTTTACAGCTAAATGAACCAACCATTTTGAAGTTAACACCACTCGATCACGTATAAATTGCTGAAGAAGAGGTTGTCTTTGAGATTTTGCTAAAAATAATCAAAGAGAAAAGTCAAGAATCACTTTATGAGTTTTTGACATCGATTGATTGATGAGAACACTTGGCGTAAAAACAGAATGAGAAAGACAGAAATAAGATTATATAATTATAATATATGTGATATATATACATATATATATATAAAACATAATATATAATATATAAAACTTTAATATATATATATATATATATAAAATATATATATAATATATAATATATATATATAATATAAATATATATATATATATAATATATATATATATATATATATATAATATATATATATATATATATATATATATATATATATATATATATATATATATATATATATATATATAAATATATATATATATATATATATATATATATATATATATATATAAATATATATATATATAATATATATATATATATATATATATATATAAATATATATAATATATATATAATATATATATATATATATATATATAAATATATATATATATATATATATATATATATATATATATATATATATATATATATATATATATATATATATATATATATATATATATATATATATATATAAATTATATAACGATTATATTTCTATTCAACACTGTGTAATTTTTTATTTTAAGTTTTAAAATCAATTTCCAGAATTTCAAAACAGAAAATTCGTTTCAGACAATGTTTTAAACTTGTCTGCT